TAAAATAAGGTCATTTTACTTCGAGATTCATATATCGATCATGCCGGTCATACCGGTGGTGTCACACCGGTTTTATGACCGGTACCGGTTGAACCCGGTACAACCGGTGGCCCATTCCAGCCCTAATCGCTGAGAAGTGTAGTGACTAGTGACGCTTGAAATTTCCTCGTGATCTTTTGAAAGATTTCACGATTAAAAATTGATACGCTCAGTTCAAAAATAATTATGGAAAACACACAGAAAGACAATAAAAAAAGTTTAAATTGTCGATTTTACATGTGTGTACAAGTGAATTAATCTTAACTAAACACAATCGATTTCGAAGTAGAAATAAAAATCCATCCTGCCGACTGCTTCCTCTCCATCGTCAGGTGTCATTCCCAGCTACTTCCTATATTCTTCATTCTTGAAAAAAGAAAATAAGAATCATATTAGCACCAGCTAGTAGCTAGCTACAGTTCGTAACCTTTTTTTTCCTTCCAATTTGATGACAATATTCCTTCATGCACTATAAGAGATGAAGGATCGCTTTCAGAAAAGCTACGAAGACGAAGGTTGATAACGAAGAGCTTTGCTAGCTAGTAGTCAGAGTTGGAATGGCTTCATGAGTAGTAACTATAAGTGTTTAAACTACGAGAGCGGATAGTGCGCAAAACGCTCTGCTTATAAAAATCAGGTCGTATCATATCATCATATCATACAAGTCGGGATACGATGATACAACCGGAGTTTTGCAAGCATGAGTTTTGTAATGGAACCAAGCCCTTTAAATATATACACATACATAAAATTAATAATAATTTGAAAATTATAATATTAGAATGATAATATTAATAATGCAGGTAGTGAAAATGATGTTGAAAATTGGCGTTCGATATAAAACACAAGCTGGCATATGGACTCTGGTGGAATTTGTCTGATAGTGTTTTTTTTTTTTTTTTGTCTTTCTTGATAAAATTGAAAATAAAGTGGAAAAGTATAAAGAAGAATTTTGAGGGGGAGCTTTTGAGCTTATAATAAAATTAGGTTTGAATTTGATGTGCCATATAAAAAGATGGCCCGAACTGGAGTCTGGAAGGCACTCTTTTTTTTCTTTTCATGATTCTTTTTGGGATGGAAACATGAACTGATTTGTTAATGTAATGTGAGAAAGGGATGCCTTGATGCTGCAAGGTTGTGAGAGTGGCTTATACCTAGTTGAGTAATTGACATGAACAACTATCTTTGATGATGATAGATAGATTAGTGAAAAATTAACATAAATTTAGCAACTCTGATTATAAGATTAATCATATAATTATAATGAGGGTAGTTAGGCTCGATACAAAATCTAGTTGGTGCATACATCTTATTTGTGATAGTCTTGATGAGAGAGTTGGGAGTATATATAATATATGATTGATATGTTATGATATAGACACGAATTAAATAATATGGTATAATATAAGTTATGTCAGTTTCAGAAGTCGAATTGAAGTGTGTTATTATTTTTTGAATAATTATATACCGCAAGGGTTGCTATGATTTGAAGTCTGTTTATCTGCCATCGACGGTAAGTCACAGGGTATGTATATACCTTCTCAACCCTTTTGTAATTTATATCCTTTTCAAATACAGTTAAACTGATCTCTCATGCCCGTGGATTAGCTAGCACGCACCGTGTTAGTGAACCACGTAAATCTGTGTGTTATTTACTTTCTTTGAATTGTTGGGCGTTTGAAATGAAGTGGCGTCAACGGATGAGATGAAGTTGAAAAACGAAAAAAGTGACTTCGTAACCTTAATGTACTTGATTTCCCAGTTCCAACATAACAACAAGTATATCTAGGATTTATGCAAGTTGAGCAGGATCGGGCCAACTACCTCTACTAGTACATCGACGCCCACAAATCTGTGTTTTTTGAGTTGTTTTAGACGAGATATCGTGTTTTCGGGGTTTGGATCCACCCAAACGAAATGTCTATCCGATCTTATGTTGATACAAAAAGGTTAATTGTTTGAATTTCGAAGTACAAAGTTAACAAATCTTTACACATGAAGGTGAGAAAAAAGTGAAAAATTTTATTCATGGATTTGACTTCTTAGGAAGATGCCTTTGAGGTTCTAGTTCATGTATACTTATTATGGAGGCTAGCTAGCTATAGTTAGGTCATAATCAAGATTCCCCTCCATTGTTATATTTTCGCGGCGGCTTCATCACTCAGCTTCAAGGTGATTGGCAGCCCAGAAAAACTTGGCTCTCACACCTTACTAATCTGAAAGGAATTCAATCCGGTTTTCTGCTCCTGCAACTCATGTGTCTGTAAGAATGTCAACTCGTAATTTATAGTGTAAAATAGATTCTGATGGGTGACATTTATAATCTGTAAACCAATATTGTGGTGAATGGAAAAAGGGTTGACATGGGAAGAGGAATGTGCAAATAATGAGTAAATTAAGGCCTTTTCAGTGTTCACAATCGTTCAGTAATGGTGGAAAAAAGCAAGTCTGAAAGGCCAGATGGTGAAACGAAAATGGTCACATGCTCCAAATCCAAAGCTTAATTAGTAAGTTTGTGCTGGGTTGTAAAGAATAAGTTGATTTCAATAATTTGAGTTGGTAGGAAAGATTCGATAATAGATCTTATATCCACATACTAACAAATCAAAATAAGGGTTTGGAGTTTGCACAGGTCCCAATACCTATGTGCTTAATAAAATGGGGTCATCGGAATTCGAACAAAAGGCATCTTGAACACAGATGAGAGAAGACTCTGATACCGTATCAAGAACCAATTGGTCCCAATAACTCAAATCATTCAGAGATGTTCAATAATGAATCTTATACCACATACTAACAATAGGTTGTTTCACCTAACTCGAATTCAACGGTGCATCGATAGATTTCGTAACTCTAAGATGGTAGATTTGATTCTAGTGAACTCCCTCGTAATTTCTCTCATCTCCAATCGGCGTTAATGTAATACTAGTTGGTCCCAATAACTCGAATTGTTTGTTAAATGTTCAATAATGAATCTTACCATGTACTAACAATAGATTGTTTCACCTACCTCGAATCCAGCAATACATCGATAGAGAATTCGTAACTCGAAGATGTAAGATTCGATTCTAGTAAACTCTTCAAAGTAATTTCTGTCATCTCCATTGGCGTTAATGTAGCAGTAGCAGTACCTAAAGGAAACGTTAGGCTAGATGAATAATGGGTATTTCGTACCCTTGCCAAATGAGGGATGAATTGATTCCATTGCCCATTTAGTGGGCTAGCTAGTGGAGTGGAGCAAACAAAATACGTTGCATCATCGCTTTCCGACAAAACATTTCTAATGTGTTTCCATCATTATTTTCTTCTTTTTCAACAATTCTACTTATTTAGGTCACATTGATCATGATAATAGTAGACATTACATTAATTCCCATTTTTGTCTAGTTCCCACCTCTATTTTGTCCCCTTGTGAATGTAGTTTGTTCAACTCAAAGCATCCCTTGCTAGAGGTAAGATATAAGAGCTCAACTAATTTAACCACCACTCGCTAATAACTGTCCAGATGGTTTCATGATCACAACTCATAAGTATAGAGTTTTCTACGTGAACTATTGTTTACTATTCCGAATTCACTCGTGAAGACGAGTTAGACACCATTATTAGTCGTACAAACCCCAGTAGCATATAAAACAATCGACCGTCACATTGTTTCACATCTTGATTAGGGGTTTCATTTCACAAATCCCACCGCACATGTCTCATTTATAAAGTTGATTAAAGATATCATGATCATGAACTGTAAGATCAGATGAGATGAGTCTCTCACTTAATGATGATTAGGCACGAAATCATTGTGTGACCTAATCGAATTGCAAAGAAAAGCATGGAGAGAACAAAGAAACAAAAGCAAGTGGTGGGGCTTTTCTTTGCCAAAGTAAGTAAAGTTTGGAAATGAATGGGGAAGGTTTGTTCATATAACTCTACTACGTGTCACGTGGCAAGAAGCAGGGTAACCCAATTGGCAACAATTGTTTTTTTGGAGGGTAGAAGAAAGAAGGATCCAATTGTACTTTGATGAGACAAATGCGTTGAATCATTGAAGGGATGGAAGGACCAAATTGGCAGCCATGTCACCATTTTGGAAGATTCCCATTGGCCCAACGATTGTCTTGTATCTCTCTCTCTCTCTCGTGTATTTTTCTTTCTCTTGTCATCTCCGCCGGGACAAAAGTTAGATTGGGAAAGGGAAAAAGTGAAAGGAAACCATTATGAAAAAGAAAAAAAAAATTGGGTGACTTACCCACACGAAGGGACAAATTCCGAGCGTCTTTTTGTAATGTGCCACTTGTAAGAATTAGGTACATTTTGTCCCATCTCAATAGGAACCATGTGAGTACTTCCCACAACTTTGCAAATGTAGTAGTACACCTCTTGACTTCACATGGACTCTAGCTAGGAAGTGCTTGGCCATTCTAGAAGGTTTGGTCATTTTCTTGTTCACGAGAGATGAAATGAAGAAATTTATAATGAGACGAGACATGAGATTGAGAGGAACGGTAAAAAAGAATTCGAGAAATTAAACACGTGACTTCTTTCCACTTTAAGATGAATTCGAGAGAGAGTAAGAGGAGAATCACAAGTTGTTTACCTTCTTTCCTTAGATCTTTGATACTTGCTCGAATTCACTCTGGAAGTTTATTGGTGAAGGTGAGAGTGATTGTTGCAAAGTAGTGACTTGCTCGAATTCGACATTGTACGTAATTCCACAAGTATGGAGTGTAGTCCTATTTTCTTTTTTTCTATTTGATAATTCGCCTAGTCGGATTGGGATCTATGTTTTGTGGGCCCCAGCCAGTATTCGCTCCATGGATTGGGCTGTGCTCAACCTTGTGCATGATAGAACATCTTGGCCCAAGTTCTTTTTGTGGATCCTGTTCAGGTTGGATATCTGTTGTTCATTTGTTCTAGTGAAACTTCGGGTAAAGCTGGTTGTTTGATAAACAACTAATTACAGATCATTAGTAAAAAATTAAGTATAGCTAAAGCCATTAGTACTTAGTAGTAAGATGCACAACGTTCTAGTAACGGCTGGTGAGTCTCAACGTCTTTCGTCCAGAAGAACGCTCCGATCCATGCAAAAGCTAAACTAACCAAATCCAGATATCCCTCTTTGGAAGAGGTTTTCCACTCCTATTAACAAAAAGTAGTTCTACGAAGTTACACCTTCAAATTCAAAGCCAAAACGACAACGTCTCATGTGCTGTGCCCATCATCAGCCTCCAAAAAAGCCCACTTCGAACCCTTCACTACTATTTTAGTTGATCTTTGCCCTTGAGAAATCCATCTCCGGGTGCTGCAATAAGCAAAAGCGACGAACACCAGGTTAGCGGCTAGACAAGAATAACGGTACTGGGGAAGCTTAGAGATTAGAGGTTTGTATTTGGCGATTCACCTCGGCCATAAACTTCTTCAGAATATCCTGTTTCTGAATCTCGTCGCTGGTTGGGCGGCCCATCTGCTTCTGCCTCTGATCAAACTGCAAGTGTTGTTATGCACGAAAGAACAGTCAGATGCTCAGATGCACAAATAACACTCACTGCCTTGATCGCAAGAAAGAGGGACTGGCATGTGGTTGAACACAGGATTATAGGGGGTGGAGTAATGAAACCAAAAAAAGGCACAGATATTCTACCATCATTTTCTCGACAGTCTGGCGTGTTTCAGGGTCCAGGTCAGCAAGCTTGCTGTTTTCAGGCTCAACCTTCTGTGTATCGATTTCAGGACCTCCTTTCACCAGAGTTTTCCACCATTCCATTTGGTCGTGCTTGGTCAACAGAACTGAGATAGTGTTTTGATCCTCTGTAGACACCATAAGCTTCAATTGAGCAACATGCTCAGGTGCAAGCATCCATTTATAGCATAACAATACATATATACATAAATGCACACTCTACAGAGAATAACCAAGTTACAAAACAGCCCAAATATATTACTCTTGGACATTTTGCTAATTTTACTAATTCACCTCTCTACAGGCAGGGAAATGCACTTAGGATTAGTGGATTCATCACATAGCACTTGATAAATAAGCCAACAGGCACAAATAGACACAAGCCTGCCAGCCAGCACAAGGGTAAAAGTCACTTTGATACTACTATCAGCAAAAGCCAGGACACCGTCAGTATGCATACAAAGGAAGCATATCAAGCAAATGATGCAAACAGCTAAAAGCTCAGAAGGAAATAGGGGATTGAAAAGTTCAACATACCTATGCTCCAGTAACAATCATCAACCTTGATAGGCTTGTAGAGTTCCCCCTGCAGTATTCAAAAGTCAGAGCTGTTGCAGAATGCAAACCACTAAGCTCAAGTTACGAATTATTAAGATTATACCTCAATAATTGGAGGCTGACCCTTGAGTCCAATTTTGAGGCGGTTCTTCTTTATGTCACACACGACGAATCTTGATTTAGTCCCGTGAGGAACCGGAACCAACACAGTAACCTCTTGCAGTGTCTGTGTCCATGAGTAGTTGTCCAGATCAAGTCCATTGCCCTTGTTTGGGACTGTTGATGCCATAACAAAGCACGACAAATCAGGCCAAATACAAGCAGAATGAAGAAACATTCAAATCTTCATGACCACAAGACTGCAAATGAAATGAAGTAGTGAAGGAAATCTAAACAATAGAACAGAAGAAATTGACTCCTAGACACAGCAATCAAATTGATAACCTAATCAAACCACAATAGAACCATAACCGCAAGCTTAAATCGTCCTCCAATTCAACCATTCAGCCAAGCAGTCCTTGAATTCGATTCACACACGACAAGTTTCAACAAGCAGCAGAATGCCAAAGTAAACACACTCTGTGATCGGAAGGAAACAACGATTTTACCTCTGACGCCATTCTCTTCCTTCTTCTTCTCCTCCTTCACTTCCTCCTTCAGTCTCTTATTGCTCAAGGAAGCCTTAGCAGCGTCGGCCTTCTCTCGTTCCGCAACCGCCTCCTCCTTCCTTCTTCGCTTCTCCTTGGCAGCCTTCGCCGCGGCCGCGATCTCCTTCTCCGCCGCGTCCTTGGAGAGGTAGTCGCACTCCGCGGCCAGGAAGTCGAAGAGCTTCTCCACGATTCCTAGTGGATTGCTGGGATCGAAAGGGGCGGTGAAAGTCGAAGGCTGCGCAGGCGGCGAGGCAGCCGACGATGAGGGCTTCGTCCCGCTCTCTTCTTCCTCGTATTCGGAGATTAACGCCATGGCTGATTCCCTTCGCTTACCTCGATTGACTGCGCCGACGAAGGTTTTAGCGCGGTCGATGGAGGTGGGAGTGGGGGAAATGTCAGGGAGCACGAGAGTTATGGAGGATTCCAGAAAGCTTTGCCTTTGCCTGTGGTGGGAGAGTAACTATTTCATTTTTACCCCCGCTAATTGCTTGTGGGCCTGATATACCAAATATTGAGCCCATTTCGTTTCTAAAAACAGAATCCCAAATTTCACCAATCAAATACAGGCTCAAATTAGAGTTGTATCGTACGTGTATTTACGATTTTACGTACATAATTCATATTTTTATGCAATTATTGTTTGACTAATTTTTTGCAGGTAATATCATTAATAATTACACATTCCCATCAATAATTTATTATTACATAATTTGATCATCGATCGAATAATTTGATCATATAACAATTAATCTATGTTTGGCAATGACTTGTACCAACAACCAAGCGCCTTTTTTTCAATTATTAATTAGGAACCTAGCTCAATTAATCGTACTATTAGACAAAGTGGAAACCATAATCACTTCATTTAACCATAAATGGATATTCACCCACAGAAAAGGTTTGAACATAAGAGTGTTGTTGAATGTTTATGTATGAATGTGAATTGTGTTGGTGCCCCGTAACTAGGCGCCCCGAACCTTCGTGTGTAGCCCCCGGGCACGCCTTACCCTGCACGCAACACGACTAACAAATTGTATTTGTAATTGAGATTACAGTCATTAGAATTTGTGAAATTTCACCATAATTTCTCTTGTTTGTAGCAACTGCGTTCTTTTACCATTGCATTTTGGGATCATTCGATTTAATCATTTACGTATTCCACAGTTTATTTATCATAATTCATATAATAATACTTGTTTTCATTATTATTATTAATTATGAAGGGATACAACAACAGTGTTAAAGAACACAAATAGCTTTATTTTATCGCCCTTCCCATATGCGCATACGTAATATCATAAATTATAATTTTTTGAAATCTTCAAATAGTAAATCAAAACGAAGCGATCGACGAGTTCCAAGCGCAATCCATAGCTTCGTCCCTCGGCCAATTTCTTCACTGTGGAGGTATAGTGTAACCTGTAATTTTGATAAAAAAACACCAATTATCTCAGCTATTTATATCTTTAGCTGGCTTATAGGCTCATAAACTTTCACATTCACATAAAACCAAACTCGAAGTTGGTAAAATGATGCTAACAATGCCATTCAGTTAATATTGTGAGAGAGAACCAATTGATCGATCACTAATTTAAGTCAATTTAATAAATTCAGAACGAATCTTATTTCGTTAGACATAAAATCGACTATATTTCTCGAATTTTGAAGTTTGCACAAACCTGATATACACGTCAATTAAATCTATATCTACAAATATACTAGTGTACTTACTGCCGCACTTAGTTCCAGGCGCAAGCGCCTTGCCGCAGGATCGGGCGGCGTAGACGACCCTGTCCATGCTGACGTAGCCCTCGATGGACTTGGTGATGTAGGCGCAGGCGCAGGGCACGTCCACCGGCTTCATGGCGGCGCAGCAGCCGGCCGACGGCGGGACCTTCTTGCCGCCGCCGCTACTCTGCACGTACTTCCAGCACTGCGACATCAGGGCGTTGAGGTCGCCGTTGCAGTAGGTCTGGTCGGCCGCCGAGGCGTAGAAGCTCTGCTCCGGGCTGATGTTGATGAAGCTGGTTAGTAAGAAAGCCAACCCGACCGCCGCCAGCCAAAACTTCGTCATCGCGAAAATTGGGGTTAAGTTGATGATAACTAATTAAGTTGATGTTTTGTAATCAACGTTTGAGTTTAACAATGTGTACATGTCTTTCCCTTTAGGGTTAATACCTTATTTTGGCCCGAACTATGACCATATAATCAACTTTGGCCAGTGGTTTTAGAAATTAACATCTTGGCCTCAACTATGCAGCATATAGACTCAATTGGCCCGACACATAGTTTGACCGTCAATTTGGACGGTCAACTCTGTTGACCGTTAGTCAACCCGCCGCCATGTCATTGCCTAGTAAGCCTAAAAATCATTAAAAAAATTATTTATTATCAAATTAACCAAAAATAAATTATAAAAAACATCAAATAAATTTAAATTTTTTATTTTTTGGATAATTTGAAAATGATAATTTTATAAATTAACCAAAAATTATCAAATTATTTTATATTTTTAAAACTTCCCAAAAAAAATAATTTATATAATAATTTTGGTTACTTTATAAAATTTATCATTTTCAAATATCCAAAAAAAAAATTATTTTATATTTTTAGAATTTTATTTTTTGGTTAATTGGAAAATGATAAATAATAGAAATTAGGAAAATAATTTGAATTTGATTTTTTTTAATGATTTTTATGCTGACTAGGCAATGACATGGCATGTTGACTAACGGTCAACGGAGTTGACCGTCCAAATTGACGGTCAAACAATGTGTCGGGCCAATTGAGTCTATATGCTGCATAGTTGAGGCCAAGATGTTAATTTCTAAAACCACTGGCCAAAGTTGATTATATGGTCATAGTTCGGGCCAAAATAAGGTATTAACCCAAATCGAATATATAGCTTCATAAGTAAAGAACGATGTGATTCACCAATAACAGCATCATACCTTACCGCTACATGTGATCGAACAAAGAGATAAAGGGGTAACCACAGAATGAGATGTTTTTCTTACGAGCACAAACTAAATAATTTAACTATATGTTTAAGTTGTAAGGCGATTAACTATCAGTCCGCTGCTGACTCCACCTCGCAGGACATTATGATAAACGGGTGCTTTTGGATTTGGGCTTTGAATTATACACTTGCTTGAAGCACATCAAACAGAAGCCCATGGGCCAAGTGGCAACGAGTCCAACGGGCCGGTCTTTGGAACCACATGCATGGAACGTACACAGTGCAATCACTAAGCCGCTCGAGTACTTTTTTGCGACAATAGCCGATCAATTACTCAACAAAAAGGCAGTCACACAAATTCCGTTTATTAATTAGGTGCCTGAAAAGAGGGCCGACGGTCTTTTTGCCGTCTTGAAAACTTGCACGAAACATATATAAATCACACGTAAAAAGCAATAACAATGTCCTCAAGATCCAAAATTAGCGTATTGTATTCTAAACTTGGCAGCCGACGTTAGTTCTCCATTTCTGCTTCTCTTCTCTCATAGCTTCGGAACAGTGTAACCTGCCACGATACATAAAATTCCAAGCACACACAAAACAACACAGATTAACGAAGTTAGTTTGTTGAAATTGACGTAAGATTGTAGCTATTTAGCATGAGTTCAGGAAAATAATTCTCAAGAGTCTATTAGCGTGAAGTTAGCATTAATTAGCTCATATCGGCGTGAATTTAAAAAATGAGAAACTAACGATTCAAAATTATTAACCACATCATCATCCTAATTTGTTACACAAAAAGCTGAGATGTAGCTTTCGTTAATCTAAATTGGATTGACCCGCGACACTTGCTGATGAATTGTCATATGATCTGTTATAACTAACTCGAATCATGATATTATAGAATGAATGACACTTAGTCATTGCTATGACTCAAACCTAATGGACGAAAAAAAAAACAACCTACTAATGTCTATATGTAAACGTATTAGCATGATACATTTCAGTTCGTAACGAATATTGACTCGACCTGTATCCCATGATAACATGACCGGTAAACGATTTATGACCCGATCTATTGGCTGAACTCGCGTCATTATAACCTATATATCGTCCGAGAGTACCCTAGTCGGTCTTACCAGCCCTAAAACACTCTGACCGACCATATACCGAAGAGAAAATATAATGCGATTCGATACTTGGTCTCGGTAAATAATTATTAATCTTACTCGCGCATTTGGTGCCGGGACGGACTATCTTGCCGCAGGAGGTGAAGACGTCGACCACCCTCCCGACGTCGACGAGGTCCTCCATGTCCCTCGTGATGTACGAGCACAGGCACGGCAGCAGCTTCGCCTTCCGTACGGCGTCGCAGCACTCCGCCGACGGCTCGTCCAGCGACGCGCCCGTCTTCGAGATCAGCCTCGCGCACCGCCTGATCACGTTCCTCGACTGCTCGTGAACGCAAGACGACGTGGACGACGACGATGACGTGGACGACGATGATGCTGACGTGGACGACGACGGGGACGAAGGTGATCTGCTGCAGGAAGACGTGGGCCTGACGGCGGAGGCGGGGCGGATGTGGTGGTCGGAGTGGATGAGGAGAAAGGAAAGGAAGAGCGCGGAGATGAGGAAGGAAGAACTGAAGAAGCTGGCGGCCATATTGATTACGAAAGGGGTTGGAAACTTGGAATTAGAGAGATAATGATTTTAATAATGGTGTGTTAATAAGTCTTTTTTGTGATGGTGATTTATGAATTAATACGTCTGTGTGTATATTTATATGGCGAGGGTCGAGGTTAATAGTTAATTAGATAGTAATTAGTAGAGAAATCAAGAGGCATTGGTGGTAGTTTAATTTGGCGTGGAGGGGGGATCATGTAAAGGGTAATCCGATCGGTGGTTGGTGTTGAGAGGTTGGTGATGGATTTTAGGAAGTTTGTGCATCGTCTTTGCATGTGCTCTTGGAATTTAGTTCGGTTTACTATATACCTTTTTTACACTTATAGATGTTTAATTTATACTTAGTACTTTGTGATATGAAAGATAATAATGAAATGAGAAACTTACATATATATTTAGTATTTAGTAATAGCGTAAGTGGTTGGTTAAGGATATGGAGTACTCTTTTCCAGACAATGTACCAAAGTGGTTATAAATAAACCTTTACGAAATGTTTATATACTTATCACGATATATCAAATAATCATTTCGCATGAACAAAAGTTTGGTTCAGTGGTATTCCCACTGGCCGGTAATTTGGAGGTTCCAGGTTCGTTTCCTTTACACAACAGCTAGGGGTGGAGGGGCGGTCGGTTCGGTTATAATTGGAAATCAAAGGGTCGGTTATCGGTCAACCGAACCACCTCCCAACCCTACCGACCACCGACCGAAAGAGGGTTTAAGACTTCGGTTATCTCGGTTTTCGGTTAACCGAACCGCCCCCAAGACCAAAAATCATATTGCCCAGCCTCCGAACACCGACCGAGTTGCGATTATCTCAATTTTCGGTTAGTGAATAACCGGACGGTTTCGTTTGTAACCGGTGGGTTAACCGCTAACCACTAACCGATTGTCCAACCTTAACAACAGCTAACTGTAAAAACAAATTTATATTACCCTTACAAAATAATAGTCATTTTGTCCCTTCGATATATAACGAAAAGGTTATAACTTATATATACGTAACCAGTTATCTTTCTGACATACTCACTTCTAATGAAAAAAGTATCACACACCTTAGCAACCCTTAAACCTATTTCTTATCGGAAACAAGCTAACTGATCATTTTTGTAAATATGAATGGAACTACACAAAATGACTGTTTTGTTATATTGTGATATGTATTTGACATTTTTTGTTAAATTTTATGGTCATTCTTTACTCCTCCAAACATGTGTAACCATTTTGATGAATTACCTTTTTCAATTACAACGACTCAAATTCAAGAAAAAAGTTATGCTTTTATCCTACTTTACTCGATTGGATTTATAGTTTTGTAACTGATTTAATTTGAAGATGGATGGTATAAACTCCTTTTATTGGTTTGATAATTTGATGGACTATTCACTTTTCATTAACATAGATGAAGTTTCCAAATCAATATTTTAAGACTATCACCTTGTCAACTTTTATTTACGATTAAATAACTCTTTAATTTAACTCCACACACAGTGCGTCACAGGTCTCACACCACACCCTGATTACTCCATGCATGATCGTCAACGTGCATGTAATTATTTAATTACGTACATATTCACCGACCTATATTACATATAAATAACAATAATCCATGACACGACGTCGTCGTCTGCATATGTAGTGTGTAGAATATCTTTGATCACGGATCCCTTCACCCCGTCCACCACCTTTCTAAGGACGAAGGCCTTCAATTATTGACGACGAAATCTGACAAAAGTCAAAACACAAAAAAAAAAAAAAAATCAATTTCATTAGCCGTTTCAATAAAAATGTCTCTACTTAGGGTTGTGCATCCATTGGCAAATCCCAAAATTTTGAACTAATTAGCACTACTGTCTTACCAACTAATCTGTTTTTTTAGAATTTGTTACATTATAAAATTTACATGCATTTGGAAGTTGAGGGAGAGCTATAGCCCCTCATAAGTTTAACGCGCCACAACAGCAACAGTCTGGTTCATATCGGATCAAACCGGCCCTTGGACCAGATCATGTTCAGCTGTATATAATATGGTAACGTGAATTTCACGAACACAAAAGCAGAATGGATAAGAATGATATTCAGATTGTGAACCAAATTGAACCGAATGCATTGTTAGTCCAACCTAAATTATAAACTGTCTTTTACTATTAGACCGCATTTCTCAATTCTCATGAGTTTGGTTCGAACCGGACCGGAGCGGTCCGTTGCAGTCCATCCAGTGATAAAGAAAATGAAAATTTTATTGAATAAAAATATTCACGTTACGTACCGCCGCACTTGGTCCCCTTGGGGATGGAGATCCCGCACTTCCGGCCGACGTAGACGACGTTGTTCATGTCCAGCAGCGACTGGACGTCGGGGGTCAGCAGCTTCTTGCACGCGCAGCCGATGTCGGCGCCGCCGATGGCGGTGCAGCACTGCGGCGACGGGTCCCGCTGCTTCGACCCTTTCTTCACGTAGTCCGTGCATTCCTCCGCCACGCCTTGGACGTCGACGCCGCACGTTCTGGCGTCGGCGCCTGGCGTCGTAATTGCCAGCAGAAGAAGAGCCGCCCCCAGAACGACGCCGGTTTTGGTCATCTTTTTTTTTTTTTTTTTTCTGTGGGGGAATTGGATTGTGTGTTTTGTAAATTTGGGTGGGTTGGTTTGTTTGTTTTATAGTAGAGAGAAGGAGTTTTGGATTTCGTGGGATTTGTGGTGAAACGGGATGCGTGGTTGTTTAGGGTATGTGGTCATGAAGATGGGATTGGTTTTGGGATTACAATTGGAGAATCGGGTGAAATTGGTATATTGATGGAAGTGATGAAGTTGTGAAGATGAGAAGAGAATGGAAGGTGGGTGAGTGAGTGGTGACTTGAAATTTTTGGATTTGAGATGTAGTACTTGATGGATGATAGATCTTTAGTTTGGCCCTTAATTGGTTTATGAGTGAGTTGAATCTAGTCGATCGTTGAAAATATTTTATCAAAACACGATGGACAGCGGGTAAAAAAATATATTGAAGATTCGTTCTGATTAAATACTATGTGTGTTTCGCTTTTTATTTTATTTTTTTCGGCTTAAGTCGGAATGTCGGGTGTTATAAAGAGTGTTGTCAGGAATTTTAGGACATGACATTTCTGTCGTAACTATGCTTCTATAAAGGATCCCAAATTAGGTGAATTTGTTTCTTTATTATTATTATTATTATTATTATTTCTGGTTTGCTGGTAAACTCTGTAGTACCCCATAACTACAATTGCATAATGAAAAATAGGAAGGAAAACAAGAAGTCGGGGTACACATGATGTCGAATGCAACACCTCAAAAGGACAACAATGTTTTGCTACACGATTTATTCTTATACTATTGAGAAGTCATTGCGACTTTGCGGCCCCTCTTGATATTCGACCGATCTCTTGCCATCGTCAAAGGAGGCGGAGCTATATAACCTGCAACCACAACCACAATATATAGTTTATTAACGAATTTTTATCAGACGAATTTTGGAGCGTATGAAGAATTCTACATATTCACAATTTTTTTTTACGTTGCCCGAGTATGCGAATATGAATACGGTTAATTCATAAAACACGCGATGTGATTCCAAACATATTAGATAGTATATAGATCATATATATGTACTTACTTCCACATTTAAATCCAGCAGGGATGTGAAGCCCACAACTTCTGCCCACATAAACCACCTTCTTCATATCAACCATCTTTTCAGCCTCAGGAGTCACGAAGTTGCACGTACAATTCGAGTCCGCGGATGTAATGAGCTTACAACATTCTTCTGAAGGCGGGATTGCAGGGCCTCCAAACTTGATGAAATCAAAGCAGGCTGCCTTCAAGCCAGGCAGATCACTTTTGCAAGGCTCATCATCAAGATCAGCCATTGCCACAAATTTGCTCCCACCATGGCCCAAAACAGCCAAAATAGTTACCACTACTGCCAAAGCCATCCCACGGTGAGTTCTTAGACTAGCCATTTTGCTATGTGATTCTTTTGACCTGATTTTGGTATGTAATGGAGATGGGATATTTGAGAGAAGGGTGTTTGTGAAGAGGAAGTAGAGATGTCACAAGAGTATATAGAGGAGAGTATTTAGCGGATTCATTTAATCCGGGATTGGATTTGATCTCGTTTTCCATATTGAGGTTTGACATATTTGGAGTGGAAATCTTTGTATAGATTTTGTTTTCATAACTAAATTTGGCATGAAATCAGAACCCTATATTTTTTTCCCCTTTTCGAATATGGATATTCTTATCACAGAACTGTTGTCACAAAACGAGCTATCCACAATTGCAGAAACAGAAATATCGCGGTGATCTATCAACCCAAACTTTTTGGTCCTTCCAATGACGAGGAACATGGGCCCTTTACATGGACCAACTCATAGCAACCCGTTTAAGAAAATGGCCATTTCAGCCCATACTCTTTCAACTTCTAGCAAATGCAAATTAGAAGAAGAAACCCATCTAAATCTGAAACAATTTTAACATTTTATTTTTTTCTTTTCAAGGACATTTTGGGCCGCCACGCTTGGTCTTCCAATTATTGTAGCAAGGACAAGACTGCTTGTTACCATAAGTTCCAGGAGGGACACAGAGACACTTGGCACAACATTTTTGGCAGTAGAACATACATGGCTTCTTGTACGACGTCGCCGAGCATCTAGCACTGCATCTCCCTCCGCACTCTGCCACAGATCAAAACATCCATAAAGAATTAAACCCTACTCTTTTTGAGATCTAGAAGTCACTGGAGTACAGTTACCTTGTGGATGAAGGCTTCCTTGTGTCATAGAAGAACCAGAAACCTGCATTGAAGAAGCAAAGTGCAACACAGTTGAACAAAGCAGAGTGTTGATTTAGCTGAAAGAGAGAGAGAGACAGACAGAGACAGGCGATTTGAGTTTTCATGAGAAAGCAACTGACCAGCTGAGTCTCCTGTGACAAAACAAGCACCATTAGGAGGAGGAGGAGGATCATGCTGCAGCGTAGCACGACGACGTTACAAACTGCAGAGTGGTTCCCCATCGATCTTCTGCAATGTACATTAGTCTCTGTGGAGGTTTCAGGTTTGGGTGATGGAGAAAAGAAAGGAGCTGAGCTTTCTATTTGCTTTGCTTGTTTCCTGTGCTGGAAGGGAGAAATAAATAGAGGGAGGGAATGGGCGATGGGAAAGTAGCAAGAAGCAGTAGTTGTAGGTTGGTTAGGTTTTGGTACCTTAAAGTCGAGCTACCATAATTTACGGTTTTCAGCGATTCAGTGTGGGCTCGTTTCGTACAAGCATAATGACGAGTATGGTCATTATATTTCGATGTATCGATCGATGTCTTGTGAACCGTTAGTTTCATCGCGAAATGGCTTCAACTCGCATTGCTGCAAACGCGACTGTCGTTCATCCAGACAAACTACAACTTAGATCAGCACAATTTTCCTCTGTAACCATCTCTACCTTACCCTATTACCCAGTTCCATTATGTCCATGTGCATTTTGCAACCATATTGTACCTTGAATGGACCCATTTTTCCATGTGCATTGTGCCCTTTTTCACATGTTTGTACTTTGTACCTTCCATTCAATTGCCATTCATCATTCCAACTACTACCTTAACCTAACCCTGCAGACAGAGTTATGAACAGTTCATGTAACAAGTAAATGCAGGCAAAATTGAAAAAACCAGCATGTCAGCCTTGGATTTCAATTGACCACTATACTTGGATTTGGGTGATATCTACAAAAATAGAGTCTCTGAAATGGTGCCACAATGACCGGTGAAGGGGGAGACAATTGCCAGAAGACCTATCAAGAAATGAGGAGGCAAATAGTACAGAACCTCTAGGGCCTCCGGTTCCAGATGGTTTCAGCCGGATATTTGAATGTTGCAGCACGGTGGTGTTCTGATTAGAGCGTTAGCGAGTCGGGAAGCCAGACCTCCATCTCTACCTACCAAGTTAAATTCAGACACAGAGATTGAAGGTTTCCCTTCATCCGTCGTCCATAGCGAGCGAGGAATCCTGATTAACGTCAGTACTTGCTTCAGCAGGATGATGAGTGTTGCCATCTAGATGTACTTCCTCGGTGCTTGCTTCGGTAGGACGATGAGTGCCGCCATCTAGATGTGCTTCCTTTGAGTTATCGGAGTCGGCGTTATTTTCTGCATCTCCCGAAGTTTGAGGTTCTTCGCTGATGCGACTCGTGGTTCCCACGAATGGGCAAGGAGGAGGGTTCCTTTGCCGACACGAGTGGCAACGGAATCCGATGACCTTGTCGATGTTCTCAGGATCAAGCCCAAAAGCATCTCCATGAAACCATACTGCATCAAAATAACGACAATTTGCACATTAACAAAACATCGTAATCCATAGTTAAAGGTAGACTTGAGAAGACGAAACAAGTACACTTTTTCTTCTCACTTTGTTTAAAACATAGCTTTTCGTTAAGCAAAACTGAAACTAACACGCAGTATCATTCAGTCGTCGGCTTAATGCAAATGCAATCGAATATGGTGAGCAAAACCAACTTACCTTCACAAGACTCGCAAGAAATATAATTGGATGCTGATTTATATCTTTCTTCATCGCACAGACAACATTTGGGTTGACGATGAAGGATGCTACTCTGAGAAGCAGTAACAAACCTAGTCTTCTGAAACTGTTTGACTCGTTCATCCTCTGGCTTAGCAGACAGTAAAAGTCCATTAAGCCAGTAATTATGACGAGTAACAGATCTCTTCTTCTGCCAAAGAGGAGCCTCTTCTGTTTTCTTCTGGGACACTTTTTCCAAATTCAGTTGCATCCCATTTTCATCCCCAACGACCTTTTTGTTGGCAGGTGCTTTGGGAGTGGTTGCCTGTCTAGCTGAGCGACGCAAAGCAACAACTGCTACGGGAGACTTCTCATCATCATCCTTTATGAGAGTGGGGCGGACCCTTAAGCCCTTTCGAGGAGGAGCTGCCTTTTGATCGTTCCTATTGAGCCGTGGCCTCCCCCTTGGCCTTTTTAAGTCCGTTCCAGGAGGAGCAGCCTTTGGATCATTCTTTACAAGAGGTGGCCGTCCCCTTGGCCTTAAGCCCTTCCCAGGAGTTGCCTTTTTGTCATTCTTTATGAGTGGTGGCCGACCCCTTAAGGCCTTTCTGCCCCTTCTGAGGCGGAGTGACCTGCGAGCTATAGATACCTTGGACTTCAACTGCTGAACCTTAGGATTCCCAGTGCCAATTGTCTTACCTTTTGGGCGGCCCTTCCCTCCTTTTTTGCCAATCTTCAAGAGCTTCCCACTCAGGCAATGGTGGCATGTGTATGTACACTTGTCATGACTGTATCCAGCAGACTTTCTAACATGTCTTTTATGGAAGAAATCTGAAGAAAGAAAAATCAAAGCTACAGGATAAGAAGAGTATACAAAGGCAAACTCGAGCATTTAAAAATCCACTGATGAGTGTCTGCTTAGTGCTTACCCTTGCAATATTGACAGCAGACAGCCTCACTGTGAACCAAGCAAAACAGGGAACCAAGAATGGAGTGAGCATAAAAAAGGATAAAATAAGAATCACAATAAGGTAACCTATATACAACTTTTAGAAGCTCTAATATTGAGGGAAATAGGGTTTTAGGGATGAATGGGGAGAAGCTTAACTGGTTAAAATCCTACAAGTTCAGCAACAAAGTTTACCGACTTTAGAAATGACACCAAAAAATAACAAAATTGTACCTGCTCGGAACATCCTTTTTACAGTGTCCACATTGATTGCACTTGGATTTTTCAGCTCTTGCGAAAAGATAAGAGAATCCTCTTTTCTCTGAGGGTGATTTCAGAGTAGCATTTTCCTCGGAGAGTTTCCCAGAACCCATCTTACTAGATTTCCGAGCAACTCTCTTCTCTTCAAAATTTTTCAGCAAATGCAAGGGGACATGGCCTTCTCTCAGCCAATATTTCTTCCTCTCGTTGGAGGATTCTTCAACAACAATAGACCCATATTTAGAAACGACTTCAGGGATGCATCTCCTTTTGCCAAAATCAAGAAGATATTTTGAGCCTCCTCCCTCAGCAGCACATTTCCTCCGCACAATCACCTTCTTGAACAACCTGACTGTCTTTTTATATTCCTTATCTACTGCAGACAATGAATCCCAATTCTCAATTTCGTCCCACCTGATGTTGGAATCAAGCTCTCTGACCTGCAAACAGCTCGCTCTTAGTATTTCAAGTTCAATCATTTTACTTCTGTAATGGAAGGCAATGCTACATTCTGCAACAAACTGTCCTATCCCTCAAGGCTTATTAGGTTGAATTAAGCAAGTAAAACTACAAGAAGGACCACCGCCTCCTAAACCCATATGATTAGATAAGAACCACATATTGCCAGGTATACCGTCATTGTAGGCGATAAAAAAAAATATCAAGTTAAAGATTCAGAAGATAACATTCTCAAAGTGGGAGAAAAGGCTGTCAAGTGCAACTTAGTGTCCCTAAATAGACAGATGACACAAGAGGAAACGTGTAGATCAACCACTTGCATGACACCTGAGAAGAAAGCAAACTTCCTATATATGAGATAATTGATCAAGAGGACTTCAATGCATCAGTTTAACAAACCTGCAAAGCAAGTAGTTCCACATTTGATGATGACTCAACAGCAGCTCGCCAAGCAACAGCTTTGCTTCTCTTTACAAAATCTGAATTCTCAGGGTATAATATCCCAGGTATCCTAATGCCACCACCTGCCAAATTATCAAACTTCAAAACAAATTCAGAACAATTACTCAATCGAGAAAACTGCAGATACTTAAACCCCCAGAGAGAAGAAAGGTTTCAGACCTTGCCTAGCAGCTTTGGACGCCAGCGAGACAGGTAAAACTTTCCAACTAAATAATTTACGAGACATTTTACCACCTCTCCACCAAAACATACTCAATCCGCCAGTTTTATTTGAAGGACCAGATTCCGATTCTGCAGAAGACCTGCTGCGCTTCCTGCTAACCCCAGATTTAGAAGATGTGCGTTGTGCGATCACAATATGAGAAGATGAGCCAACAACAGCAGAAGAATCTACGTGTTTCAACCATACAGTGGAAATTGCACGTTGATGGATGCTTGACTCTAACTGCTCAAAATAAAACCATAACAATTAGTACAACATAACAAAAATAAGCCACCACGATCTTCTTGAGATTGCTTGTGTGCTTACAAGGAATGAAAACTTCACTTTGGAATTGTGAAATTAGTATCATAGAGGGCAAGGGTAACACTGCTTATTCACCATCATCTAGTACGTTATGTACTGGTAAAAAAAGTAGTACGCTATGTACCCCAAGAAATTTCAACCAAACCAGATCTCAGCCGCGAGTAAGCAAACTGTCTACGACTGGCATGCTTTTGACACTAAAGTGATTACTTCATCCCTTTTACAGGGAGACAGAGAGAGAAAAGTGTGAATCAAATAATCAACCAGAAGTTAATGAAGAAACCATGACATGACAGGTTACCTTCAGGAGTAGACATTTCACAGATGCCATATCTGTTGCCTTGGCTATGTTTTCATGCCAGAGTCTGCTATAATCTGGTTTCAGCCATGGACCCGATAGAAGCCCCTGCAACCGATCTTCGATGGAGATGATGTGGCCTATTACATCAATAAGATGACCATTTCTGTTCCTTTTTGATTGAAGCTGATCAATTTCCACTGCTGATACTTCCTTGGCAGGGCCAAAGCTCATAGTAAACAAACAATCCAAATCATCCATTGGAGCCCTGCACAAGAAGCACCACCCACATTTCTCCTTCCGTGCCATTGAATTAGTACTCTGAATATTTGGCCAGTGTAACTTTGGGGCAGTTTTCAGAATAATCTTCATCTGGACTGAAATCATTTCTTCATCGGACTTTGCTGGCCCGTCCACTGCTTTATCTAATGACTTGGGCATCAAGTCTTCGGCAACTCGAGAGGCAGTTTGTCCAAAAGTGTAGTAATTAATGTATTTCCTCTGTCTTATATTGTTCACAGCAGAAGAATGTGTATTGCTTTCCTGAGTTTTATCCATACTGATAGGATCATTGGACATATCTGCAGATTTTGTAGAACAATCAGGCCCTTCCTTCTGAAAATTTTGATTCACCGAACCAATTTGAGTAGTTACAGCAGATCCTTCAGAACTCATATATGTAGGGCTAACAGATTTCGAAGCATCAAGCTGGCTAGAAGACACAGTAACTTCTGATTTCCTTTCAATAACATTATCGTGAACTGCACCTTTCTCAAAGGATGCGAGAGCATGTGAAGGAATGAACTTGCTCAAATTACCGAAGCTACCAACAGGGAAATCAAAATTCTTAAGGATTGCCTTCACAATATTACCATAAGACCTATCTGAAGATTTCAGC